CCCTCACCCACGCGAAACGGCACTGCATAACCCTGGCCCAGACGGCATCTGCAGGGATTGTCACACGCCGACGGCGTCAACAAGCGCAATTGCCGGCCGCGGACTCGCCGCCATCGCTGAAGCAGAGCGCCACGCGCCACCAGAAGAAGGGATGTCGCAGCTCGAGCTTGAAGTCACTACTCACCGCGTGTTTGGCGCCGACCAAAGCCCACACGGAGGACCACCCTCTCAACGGCTCGAAGGCATCCTGCGCGGACAACGCCGCAGAACTTTCGACGCGCGCGGAGTAGCGCGCCCCTACACCCGCAAGGAGTTCCTGAAGGTTTACCCCCACTGGCGCGACCCCACGGCAAAGCTTACCGTGGAGCAAGAGGAAGAACTGGCGCGCCGCGAAGCTGAGGAGCTTCGCCAGCAAAGTCTCGCCGAAGCGCGCGGGACATTCGCTTGCGGCGCGTGGGGAGCCGAAGCGGAAGAAAGCGCCTCCAATGAAGGGGGGTGGGGAAGCGCTGGCGGATGGGGAACGAGCGACACTGGCGGATGGGGAGACAACGGCGGAACCTGGGCGAGCGCAAGTGGCGGATGCTGCGTCGCGTCTGGCGACGACGGCAGCGGCTAGGGGACTTCCCGCGAAGAACAAAGGGGGGGAGAAGAAGAAACAGGAGAAGCTGAGGCAACACCCGCAGTTGTTCCCCTCGGTCGTCCCCCGCGCCGAGCTCCACTCGCACTACCTCCCCCTGACAATCCGCCGCACCACAATCCGTGGGACACCATCCACTGGGGCAACTAGCCGTCGACCCCGCGTCGCACCGCCTATGGACCCGCTCCCGAGCCACGCGAACCAACCCTCGTCCCTGGAACCATCCCTGGGACCAACATTCCGCTTTCTATAATCCGCGACAGAGAGTTTCTGGCGCTGATGCTGACTACCGCGGCAGAAGAAGAAGTTGCAGAGGACGCAGCAGCAGAATCTGCTCATGTACCTGACGGAGACCCTGAGGAAGCCCGCGCGCGCTGTATGTGCACCTCCGGTTTTTGCGCTGACGATGCACTCTGGCACCAGCGCCTCGGACATCCCTCGGACATCCCTCAGCGACGCTGAGAAACTGCATCGACGCAGGCGTCTTTGCCCCTGGAGCGCTCCTGCGCCCAGATGGCAGTGAAGTAAGGGGCGCCGCACATCCACGCAACTGCACCGTCTGCCCCGAAGCTGCGCTGAGCCACCAGCCGTTCCCGCTGCTCGAGCCAGGAACGAACCGCTACCCCAAGCTGCACAAAGTGTACAGCGATTTTCTCAACGTGGGGCACTGCGGGGTCGACGACGAGCTATACACACTCACCTTCATCGACGCTGGAACACGCTATGTGTGGGTCGTGAACGTGGAAACTCGCGACAGAGCTTACGAGGTGTTCCGCCTCTGGCTGGCGCACGCGCAGCGGCAATCTGGGGAGAAGAAACTAAAGATCTGGCAATCTGACGGCGCGGCAGAGTTCAGAAGCAGGCAGATGCAGGATTACCTGGTGCAAAAGGGGATCGAGCACCACATCTCTCTCCCCTATGCACATCTACAACAGGGCGTAGCCGAACGGACGAACCGCACGCTCATGACGAAGGTACATGCGCTAATGAAGCAGTCGAAGCTGCCGCCGATCTACTGGACCTACGCGATGCACCACGCCGTGCGGGTGCATAACCTGCGCTCAACTACCGCAATCGCCGGCAACCTGTCCCCGCATGTCAAGTGGACCGGGACTAAGGGGGACACATCCATGCTCCGCGTATGGGGGCGCATGGTTCAATATCGCTCGCCGACATCAACCATTGGCAAATTCGCCAGCCGCGCGATGGGGCATTCACCTCGGCATCAGTCACGAGTACAAGGCGTGGATCGTGCTGGACCTGCTCAGTCAGAAGACCGCCCACGCTCGCGACGTAATTTTCTACGAACGCCTCTTCCTCGAACAGTTCCGTCACGACGAGGAGACGAACGCGAACCGCGTCTACGCAAATGATGGGCACAGCTACGCAACGCCTGAAGACGAAGCCGCTGCAGCAATTCTGGAGCAGGACACTAGGGGCGAGTTCACATGGGAAGATCGGCGCAGCAGCGACGACGACGACGACGATTCCTCGGGAGGAGGAATGGGCGGAACAGGCGGAAGCGGCAGAGGCGCAGCACCACCAGCGCCACCTGAACCAGAGAGCGATGACGACGATGTGCAGGAAGTCGTCCCGCAACAACGCCACGACAGCACTATTTCAGGACTGCAGCTGCTTGGGCTTCACACCGCAACCTCGAAGACGCCACATGTCATCGAGCCCCGAAACCCTCGCGAAGCTCTCTCTGGACCACACAGCAAGGAATGGCGCGAGGCGATGGACGCGGAGATCAAAGCGCTCGAGTCTCGAGACACCTGGGTGCTAGTTGACCGTGCGGCAATCAAAGGTGCAAGAATCCTTTCGGGGAAGTGGGTCTTCCGCGTGAAGACCGCAACGGATGGAACGATCGAGCGCTTCAAGGCGCGCTGGGCGGTGCGAAGCTACGACCAGAGGCACGGGATCGACTTCGACCAGACGTTTGCTCCAGTCAGCCGTCATACCTCCGTTCAAATCCTACTCGCCATCGCAGCTGCAAGGCACCTGCCACTCCGTGAGACCGACGTGAAGAACGCGTTCCTGTACGCGTTAGTAGACGCCGTGATCTACGTGGAGCAGCCGCATACATACGGTGACAACTGCGCAAGTCGCTCTACGGGATCAAACAGATGCCCAACGATCCAGGGATGTACCGCCGCGATTTCCGCGGGGAATACATCCTCCTCACGGTCTACGTCGACGACCTGCTCTACACAGGCTCAAACAACGAGCTACTCGAGCAGTTCGAGAAGGCTTTGGCGGGGCGCGTCGACATCACGTGCAATTACGAGGTGAAGCAGTTCCTAGGCCTCAACATCTCCTACGCGCCTGAGGCCATTCACCTCTCAGCGGCTAAGTACGCAGAGGAGTTAGGGAAGCGGTTCAAGATTTCACCTGCACCCCTCTCAACTCCCTACCGAACCCCTGGACCGAACCACAAACCTGACAACAAAGCCCTATCCCCTGCTGGGATTCAGACTTATCAGTAGCAGCTGGGATGCCTGCTCTTCGCCTCTGTCACCTGCAGGCCAGATCTCTCCTACATCGCAAGTCAGCTGGCCCAGTACTCACGCAAACCAACGGCTGAGAATCTTCTGGACCTGCAGCGCGCTCTGCAGTTCTTCGTTTCGACGCCCAAGATTGGGCTGTGCTACTCAACTGCACCAACCCCATCCTTCAATCTCATCGGCTATGTGGACGCCGATCATGCAGCAGATCCCGACGGGACCAATCTCCTGGAACCAACGGGACCAATCTCCTGGAACTCGCAGAAGCAGGAGCTGGTTGCCCTGTCGTCAGCCGAAGCAGAATTCATCGCAGCAACCGCAGCAGTTCGCGAAGGCCTCTACCTGCAGGAACTCCTGCAAGAGGCGAAAATTCCAGCTTCGCCCACCTTTCGTCTTCACTGCGACAACCAGAGCGCGATTCGCATTGCAAACAAACCTCGTTTCATCAACCGCACCAAGCACATTGCGCTGCGGTATTTCTTCGTGAAGGACGAGGTGGACAAGGGCAAGGTCAACTTGACCTATTGCCCGACCGGTGACATGGCAGCAGACTTTCTCACGAAGCGACTGCCACGCCAGCAGTATCAGCACTGCTCCGAACTCAGCGGCGTGGTCAAGCAGGTCAAGTCGAGCTACGGCCAGGAGTGAAGGGGGGTGTTACGAATAGTAATGTTTAATTATTACTGTGCACTCCTTACCGCAGCAAAGAGAAGCACGCAGTATCGAAGCAAGAACGAACGTGAAGGGTCAGACGGTTAGGAATTGACTCGAAGCGTCAGACGGTTGGGGTGGATCTGGACCGTCGGAGCAGACGGCATCAGGCCGCTGCAAGCGGGATGGTTTCGGCGAAAACAGTTTCGTAACTGTACGCGCCGCACAGTTGGGAATGGATTTTAATAAGGGAATGTACCCCTTAGAGTACATGGCTAGCTAGGTCGTTTCGTCTTCCCTGTACTCATATTTATATTTGCTGTATTTGCATGTTTTAATTCATCTCAAAGCATTTTACATTCACTCTGCTATTGAGGTCAAGGGCCCACCAACTCTACTTCTCTGCGTGCGAACCTTCCCGAGTAGATCCTGGTAGCGATCAACATCTGATCGTAGCAACTATGGAATAACTGGCATGATTTTTTCCACATACAAGTGAATGGACTGAGCAATGCATACCATGTGTCCAAATATGGAAACCAAAAAAACCTTGGAAACTCGTTAGTGCAGCAGATTGGCCTATATGGGGGCATTGAAGGATTCAGTTCGGGCATGGCCCCATCTGCTGGCGCTCCCGCGTGACTCTGGCCGACCGTTCTGGTTGGTGGAATCTGGCTGGATGCGCGCTGCCGTCGTTATCGCTGGCAGCTCAATCTCGGCGGTTGAGCTCCTCCTCAGCTGGCTTTGACCCGATCCGACCGTTCCTGTCATCCACACAGTCGACTCGACCCGACTTGACAAGCCATGGCAGTGGAATAGGAAGCGTCGTCGCGTCAGTTTTCGCATTCTCACCTCACCACAAGGCATCAACAAGGTCACCGCAGACTCGCGTAGCATTCACCCTGATCGCGCCATGCGCATTCCACCCGCCGACCTTCCCTCGAGGCGCCGCGCTCGAGGTCTCGGGCGTACAGCGGCGATTTCTCCTCGTACGGTTGCTTCCCGCCCGCCCGACAGTTGTTCCTATCATCCGCTGCACCTCTCCTTCCACGTGCGCCTCGGCGAGCAGATATTTCCGCGCAAGCGGATTCAGTTCAGCGTTGCAAGCGATCTGCCACTGCCATCCCTTCTCTCGGCGTCTCCAATCCCCCCCTCCTCTCCAGTGCATGCTTCGCCGTAGATGCTCGCGCCATGCGCAATGCACCACTATGCTGCCCCCGCTCCGCCGAGCCGTGCATAGCATCCCCCTGCGCGCCGAGCCTGCTGGCCCTCGCGCGGCAGAAAGACGATCCACATGCCGCGGAGGAGCCATCCGCGCTCGCCTGCGCTCTCTTCTCGCGATACCGTACGAGGGCGCGGGCGGGAGGCACAGGCTGGCATCGTGTGTGTGTCTGTGCGTGAGTGCAGTCCGGTTGGTTCCAAGGTCCGCGGATCCCGAGGCGACTCTTGAGTCGACTCTAGAGGCTCCGAGGTCCGCGGAACCTGGGGCGCCGCGAGGGACAGCGGGATACGGCGAGCGTTTCGTCTCCGCGTGGCGTTGACCCGTGGGAGCGACCGGCGATGGTCCTCGAGAGTCCCTTCCAGGGCGCGGCAAGCAGCGATCGCAGTGAGCGCAGAACTCAGCTCTGCGCCATGGGGCGCTCTTAGGCGCGCGCGGGGTGACGCGCGATGGTACTGGTAGGGCCAGCCAGGCCGGGCGGGCCGGTTGCCCCGAGAGACGATGTGGTGCTTCTCACACCCTGCTGGCGCGAGTGGTAGTGAGATGACCCGTGCGCCACGCTTGGGGTCGCGGCTTGTTATATTGAAAGAAATATCTCGCAGACGCACGGGTCTGTGCGTGCTTGCTCGCTCGCATGTGTGCTAGCTGAGACTCACACCCGGAGCGTCTCTGCGTCCGAAGCTGAAGCAGTGCAGTCATGCAGGCATGGATTCGTGCACGCATGGCATGGTGCCATGGCGCCTGTAGAACAACTCTAGTGTTGCGCATTCACAGCGACTACTAGCAGGCCCTCCCTGGCCGCCAGTCTCCCCTCCTTGCATCGGCCTTGCCCGGTGCGTGCCTCCCGCCGCCATCTCCTCATTGGCTCTCGCTGATGGCTCGCAGATTTAGACTTTTGGAAGTTGATCTGATTTAATTCGATTCGGATACGACCAGAGGCGTTGCCACGAGTCCTGTGCTGCGTTCTGCTGAGCTAGCCTCCCCGATTTTCTGACCGAGTGTACAATTTGAGCGTTTCGTGGACCAATCACAGCTGGACACGTGTGATCGGGTCGCCCAATGGGAGGCGACGCCACGAGGGACGGCGACGCGTGCGACAGGGCCGCCGCCGCCGCTGAGGCTGCTGCGGGCGGAGCAGAAGAGGACAGCAGCAACAGCAACAGCAACAGCGGGTGCGGGGATGGCGATGGCGATGGCGATGGGGACGGTGGTGCGACGGGCGATAACGAGCTGAAGAAGGTGCGCGACGGGCTTTTACTCGCCTGTGTGCAGCGCTGCGTGCGTGCACCGCACTGCACCCCCCGCCAACCAGCCCTTCGTGCTCGATCCTAGACTCCGCTCGTCCTCTGAATTCCCCTCTTCCCCCTCCTCCCCTCGCCCATCCCCGTCCCTTTCCCCCCTTCGCCCCCCCCCATCCCCTTTCTCAGGGCCTATGGACGGCGGAGGAGGACGCGGTGCTGATGGAGTGCGTGCAGCGGTTCCGCGAGGGCAACTGGACCACCATCGCGCAGCGCTCAGGGCTGGCGCGCTCGGGCAAGAGCTGCCGCCTGCGCTGGGTCAAGCACCTCAGCCCCGCCATCCGCCCCGGCCCGCTCACAGAGGCGGAGCAGCGGCAGGTGATCGAGCTGCAGCGGCGGTTCGGCAACAAGTGGGCGCTCATGGCGCAGCACATGCCGGGTCGGTCGGACAACGCCATCAAGAACTTCTGGAACTCGTATCGGAAGAGGATGCAGCGACGCGTGAAGGCCGCTGCTGCCGCTGCCAAGGATGGGGGCGGAGGGGGTGGAGGGGTGGGTGGGGGTGGTGTTGGGGAGTGTGATGGCGAGGCGGGGGAGAAAGAGGGAGGGGCGGAGGCGGAGAGGGAGAGGGAGCAGGCGGTGCAGCGGCAGCGGCAGGGTGAGAAGGAGGAGCAGGGGGTGCCGCATGCTGGTCAATCCATGATCTCACCCGCAGTAGCAGTAGCAGCAGCATCGGCATCAGGATCGGTATCAACAGCATCACCTGTATTCCTCTCCCGATCGTCCACGCTGCCAGCACCAGCACCAGCACCAGCACCAGCACCAGCACCAGCACCAGCACCAGCAGCAGCACCAGCACCAGCACCAGCAGCAGCAGCAGCAGCAGTGGCGGGTGAGGCAAGTGTGGGCGCGCGGGTGTTCCCCAGAGCTCACTCCCACGCGGCCGTGTATGCCACGAGTGGCAGCAGCAGCATCAGCACCATGCACCCCTCGCCCCTCCAACCCTCCCCGCCGCTGTTCCACTCGCCCTCGCTGCCTGCCCTCTCCCTCCCAGCTCCCACGCCCCTCGCCCCCTTCCCCTACCTCAGAGCATCCGTCTCCTCCTCCTCCCTGCTCACTGTGCCTCGCCCACTTGCCTCTGCGGCTCCCGGACTCACCCGCACACACCCTGCTGCTGCTGTTCCTGCTGCTGCACCCCACACGCCCGCTGCTCCCCTTGCTGCTGCGCCCTTCGCTGCTGCGCCTCTTCCTGCCACCATACCGCCCATGCCTCGGCCCGCACCTGCCGCTGCAGCAGTGGGGGGGGTGCACGTGGCAGGCGTGGCGGGCTCGCCTCTGCTGGACCAGCTCAGCGCGCTCAGGTGCATGGAGGAGCAGCAGGAGCAGCAGGAGCAGGAGCAGGGCAACGGGAACGGGAGGTCAGCCTCCGCACGGGCTGCGCTTCCCACTGCTGCTGCTGGCGGCCTGCCTGGCAACGCCAACCAGGTCAACGGGGTCAATGGGGTCAATGGGGTCAACGGGGTTGGGCAAGTCAGCTCGCAGCAGGTGCTGGGTGCTTCCCCCATGCGCCTGCCCCTGCCACGCCTGCCGCCAATCCAAGCCGTGCCCGTGTCAGCGCAGCACCCCATGGGTGGTGCCCCCATGCGCAGGGCACTCTCCTTCTCCACCGCCTCTCCCCTCACCGCCCTTCCCGCCACCACCCCTCCGCACTTCCCCACCATGCACCCGCACACCGCTCTGACCACTGCTGCTCCCATGAGCACATCGGCACCATCTGCCGTGTCGCTACCGGTGCCTGCCGCGCCACCAGCCCTCACGCCCATGCCCATGCCCATGCCCATGCCCATTGCCAAGCCCGCGCCTGTGGCTGTTCCTGTGCCCGCTGGAGCGGGTGGGAGTGGCACGGCTTGGAGCAACCCAGTTGGGAGCGGCATGGGCTGGGGACGGTGCGGGGGCAACCCACCAGCACCAGCAGCAGCACACGCGGACGGCAGTGGGAGGCACGGGGTGGTCACCTCTGGGGTCCCCGCCCACCCGCTCCTTGTGCTGCCTCATGGGCAGACGCACACTGTGCTGCTGCACGCGCCCTCCCATCAGCACGGGATGGAGCAGCGGCAAGTGAACCTGCAGCAGCAGCAGCGGCAGCGCCTCACTGCATCTCCCCTATGCGGCAGCAGCGGGTATGCAGTGCAGGACGCGGTTCCCCATGAGCGCAGCCACCTGCCTTGTAACGCGGATGGAAACCCCTCTCGCCCCTCTGACGCCCGCCCCTACAGCGAGGGGGCGAAATCCCTAGAGTGCGCTAACGATGGCGGTGGGGCTGGCCGCTGCAAGTACGGTGCAGGCGCGCTGGGGCTGCAAGGCGGCAGCATGGGGGAGCGGCGGAGCGAAGGGGGAGATATGGAGTGGCAGGGAGCTGATGGGGTGGAGGCGGAAGAGGGGAGCGAGGAGGAGAAAAGAGAGAAAGGAGAGTGGGAGGAGGGGATGAAGCGAGGGGAGGGGCAGGAGAGGGAAGAGGGGGCGAGGGAGGGCGGTGAGCTGCAGCGGTTGTGGCTTCCGCCGTACCTGGACACGCCACAGAGCTCGTCCCCGTGTGGTTCAGTGAATCTGGACGCGGTGGATGCCGTGTTCCAGTCAGAGCTGCTCGTGGCGCTGGCAGAGGACGGTCCAGGCGCACAGATTGCAGGTGCTCCTGCCGCTCACCTTGCTGCTGCTGCTGCTGCGGCTGCGGTGGCTGATCCTGCTGGTGCGGCTGCTAATGCTGGTACTGCCGGTGCTCCCTCTGCTGCAGCCGCGTCCACGTGCGATGAGCAGCGGAAGCAGCAGGTGCTTGCACTTGGTGCGGGACCAGAGCAGCAGTCCGGCACACTGCAGCACAGCCAGCAGCACAGCGGGGAGCAGCACAGCGGGGAGCAGCAGCAGCGTGGGAGCGAGGTGGACGGGGAGGGGAGTCTGTCGGGCACGCTGTGCTCGCCCTCCACTGCTGCCTCGCCCGCTGCTGCGCCCTGCATGGGCGACCGCACGCCCATCTCCAAGCGCTCCTCCCTCGCCTCGCACACGCCCCTGCTTCAGCGCACGCCTGGGTCTGCCCGGCGCCCACTGTTCTGCACGAGCATAGAGGAGGAGGAGGGCGAGCAGGTGAAGGAGAAGCAGGAGCATGAGGAGCGGGGACGTGAGTGGGAGTGTGTGGAAGCAGATGAGGGTGATGCAGGTGGCGAGAAGGGCCGTGGCGGAGCGGAGGATGGGCAGCAGGCGGCGCAGAGGTTGGCAGGGGAGTGCCTAGCGGCGGGTGTATGGGCGTGCAGTGGGGACAGGGAGCGGGACACTGTGTCTCCTCTGCACCGCCACCTGCCTGTGGCCGTGGCCGTGGCCGAGGCAGGCGCGGTGGGAGGGGGCAGGGGGACTCGGGTAGAGGGCGGAAGGATGGATGAGGAGGGCAGGGAGACGCATGGGGAGGAGAAGGACGTGAGCGGGGAGGGACTTGTGGATGTGAGAGGAGGAGGAGAGGGCAGTGGTGACGTTTGTGCAAGGGAGCTGGAGACGGGGTTGCTGGCCGGAGTGGTGGTAGGCTCACTGCCTGGGGGGCTGTGCTCGCCCGTGCCACTGCTGGCAGACACTGCAGCAGCAGCAGCGGCGGCGGCGGTGGAGGAGGGTGCGGCAGAGAAAGGGGAAGCAGCAAGAGTGGAGGTGATGCATCCTGCCATTGCGCCGGCTCGACGCACACTCACACCATTACCAGCACTGGCACCTCCACCACCAGCGCTAGCACCAGCGCCAGCAGCGCCACCGTCATTCTTTCCTGCCCGTCCGCACCTGCTGTGGTCGCCTGCTCGCTCGCCCCTCTCACCCCTCTCCCCCACGCCGCGCTGCCTGCCGCCAGCTGTGTTCCCGGGCATGGGGAGTGTGGGCGCGGCTGACGGCATGGACGCCCTGGGGCGCGTGGGCGGCAAGAGGCCGCTGGGTGGTCAGGGTAGCGCCGCTGCTGCAGGCTGTGCAGCGGGTGCAGGTGGGGTGGATGTGATGGGGAGAGTGGGTGGTAAGAGGCCCCTGAGGGCTGTGGGAAGGCTGGGTGGCGCTGGTGGCGGGGATGACATGGGAGGCGTGGGTGGCATGCAGCGTGTGGGGAGCGTGGCAGGTATGGGGGGCCTCACTGGCATGGCTCGCCTGGCGTGTGTGGATGCTGCAGGTGGGGCAGCAGGTGGTGTGGGTGGGGTGCGGTCGAGTGGGGTGGCAGGGGCAGTGAGGAGGGGGCAGGGCATGGGGACGGTGATGAGGAGGCGGGCGCTGAGAGGTGCGTCTGCTGCCCCCGTTCCCCTCCCCCTTGCTGCTGCCACCCCCTTCTCTGCTGCTCCTTCACTTCCTGCCGTCCCTGCTGCTGCTGCAGCCGTCCCTATCTCTGCCCCTGCTGCTGGTGCTGCTGTGCCTGCTCGGGCCTCTCGCTTCGCTGCAGAAACCGCTATTGCCACTGCAGATGGAGCCGCTGAAGGTGCCACGGCCAGTGCACCTCCCTCCCACGCGGCCCAAGAACCAGCAGCAGCAACTGCAGCAGCAGCAGCAGCAGCAGCAGCCCCCGCTGCAGCTGCCATCAAACCCCTCCTCATCCAATCAACCACCCACCCACAACCCCTCCCACACCACCGCCCCCACCAGCACCCATCATCCCGACCCTGCCCCAGCAGCAGCAGTACGAGCCTCAGAGCCACCTCTGTCACACCGGCGGCTGCAGCAGCTGCAGGAGGCGAGGCGAGTGTGGCAGGCCATCCTGGACAGCCCACGTGGCATGTGTGCCGCCCTCAGGGAGTGCATGCCGCCCGCCCTGCGCCAGGTCACTGCTGACGTCACCACGCCTCTGTTTCCGCTCCCTGCTGCTGACGCAATCATGCCCTGCGCTGACGTCACCAGCCCACTTGTGTTGGGCGAGATGAGGGAGAGAGGGGAGAGTGGGGGAATGGAGGGGGGAGGGGCTAGCGGGGAGGTGGGGAAGGGAGATGCGGATGGGGAGATGGTTGCTTTGGGGGACAGTGGGGGTGGGGGTGGTGATGTGGGGAGTGATGGCAGTGATGCGGGTGGCAGTGGGGGCGGCGAGAGTGGTGGCGGTGACAGTGGAGAAGCATGCGAGCGAGAGCTGGTGGATGGCATGAATCGCCTCGAGACAAGTCAGGGGGTGGAGGGGGAGCAGGGGGGAGAAGAAGGGGAGGAGCGAGAGGAGGAGGTGGAGGAAGGGGAGGCGGAGGTTGTGGAGGCTGTAGGGGACTCGTATGACCTTGAGAGGGAGATGGGGGATGGCGGGCAGAATGGAGCACAGGGAGGGGTAGGGGGGTGTGAGGTGAATCAGGATGGTGGTGTGGCTGGGAGGGTTGGGGAGTGCTGCACACAGGCTCGGCGGATGGAGGTAGGGACATGTGAGGGGGCCAGTGGTGGGGGGGGATTGCGGCAGCCAAGGAGTGAGGAGAGCATGGCAGCAGAGCAGACAGCAAGGAGGGCGGGGCAGCAGCAGTGGGTGGTGGATGATGGGTTGACTGCGGGTGGCAGTGCTGCCAAGCGAGTGAGGCTCATGCACGGTGGTGAGTGCAGGGCACGAGAGCACCCGGTGGAAGAAGAAAAGGGCAGCAACGAGGAAGCTGCTAGTGTCGGGGAGGAGTGCAGAGAGCAGGGGGTGCGGGTGAGCAAGGGAGGCAGCAGTGGGGGGCGCAGCAAGGCGAGGCAGAGGAGGGGGTGCCGCAGCCAGCGACCCATGACCGTTGAGATCCACCGGCCGTTCATGCACGTGACTCGCATGGTGGGGAATGGACGCACGCAGGCGGGGGAGAGGAGCGTGAGCATGCAGGAGGCTGCTGGTGGGATGGTGCGGGAGAATCAGCAGCAGCAGCAAGAAAAGGAAGAGGAGCCGCGGGTGCATGGCGGGAGTGAGGAAGGAGGACCAGATAGGGCAGGCGACCCGGCACTGCAGGAGGGAATGTCTGAGCAGCAGCACGGGGAGAAGAACGGACAGCAGCAGCAACCGCAGCGGCAGCAGCAGCAGAGCCCGGTGCTGTATCACTTCCATGGCTCATCACTCTTCACGCCCACTCAAGCACCCCTGCTCACGCCCTCCCTCACCTCCGCCTTCACCCCCTCCTTCACCCCGCCTTTCTCCCACCCCCCTCCCCTCACCTCCCCCCACTTCGCCTCCCTGCTCGGCTCAACAGCACAAGCCCACGGCAATCCAACAGGCGCAAACGCCTCAAAGGATGGGACTATGGGAAGCCATGGCGTGGAGCATGGGCGTGAGGATGGCCATGGGCATGTGCAAGTGCATGCTCATGCGTCTGGTTCAGGGTCCCTGCTGGCTGCAAGTCCGCGCTTTGAGAGTGGGTGGGTGTGGGACATGAAGCTTGATGCCCTCTCACCCGCCGCCATGGCTTCCCACTAGCGCCCACACGATGCGATCCGTATTATACTGAGCTCGTGTGCTGACGATTACTATACTGTAAATGTCTGTGAATAATACGACAAGCTAACGAATATACATGAAATGTAATGTCACGGATGCTCCTTTGTGCCAGAGGGTCTGCACTTATGGGGTACTGGTACCAGGCTGTTTGAATGTTCCAACAGATGCGGCTTGGGTTGGCGCCAAAGTGTCACTCGCGAGCGACGACGACAGCCTCGAGTGATTGAGTATGACAGCCTAGGACCGTTTCCAACCTGCGATTCGCTCTCCCCCAAAACCTCTACGAGGCTGCACCTGCACCTGCTCGCACGCCATGCGCGCATCAAAATCGCGCCTGCCTTGCGTGCAAACAGCGGCGTCACGGGTGACGGCAGAAAGGGCCAGCTGCCATCACCCGTGCGGATGGCACCTGCCCTCCCGACGTGCCCGAGCGCCCGCTTCGAGGTGTCCTCGCCTCGCCGCCCGCGCATTCCTGGGCCATGCGCCAGCAGGCGCAGCTCAGAGCAGCGCCGCGCCGTGCACGCGGGCGCTCGTGTCCGGACGCCGTTTGGCAGCCACACACCCTTTCAACGCTTCCACCCGCCCACTCTGCTCCTCCACTCTCTTGCTCGTTATTTCACGCGCCACCTCGCCGTACCCTCTGCCCGCAGTGCTCTCCGCGCCACTGCTACGAGCCGACGAGCCCGCCATCCGCTTGCCCGCCCCGACTGGCGGACGCTGCGCCACTCCACATGCTCCACGGCGCACTGCCATCCTTCTCACACGCTGTGCCGCTCTAGATCTCCTAATCTGGCGGCGCGGATACTCGCCCAGTCAGCACCCTTCTCCCTGCGCGCCTGCCTTGCCTCGCGCTGCACCGCCCCTCCCCTCGCCTCCCTCCCCGCCCCTCGCTGCCCATCGCCTGACCTCGTCTCGCCTCGCCTTGGCTCTATCGGGAGAGCGAGCGCCACCACAGCCGCACGCCACCTGCGGTAACCCGGCGTGAACGTCCACGCGCGTGCTGCATGCTAGGAGCGCCGCCCTGCACGGCACCCGCGTCCGCTCTCCGCCATGGCGCGCGCTGCGTCCACAGCGGCTAACGGCGGCGGCGGCGGAACGGCCTCCTCTAGCCGCCGCGCGGCGGCGCTGGTGGTGGCGGTGAACGGGCGGCGCGTGGCGGTGCGCGACGTGGATCCGCGCATGTCGCTCAGCGAGTTCCTCCGCTCCACGACCGCGCTCACTGGCACCAAGCTCGGCTGCGGGGAAGGTGCGCGCCCCTGGGGATGCGGGGAAGGTGCGCGCCGCTGGGGATGCGGGGAAGGTGCGCGCCCCTGGGGATGCGGGGAAGGTGTGCGCCCCTGAGCTGCTGTTGCGGCCGTGCGTCATGCGTGCCGTGCCCCCTTGCCCCTCCCTGAGCATGGTGGCGCGCCCACACCATCGACCACCGCCCACTTAACGCCATCCTCTTCCCTTGCCTCCCACTCCCCCCCTCCCCCTCACCCCCTCCTCCCTGCCCCTGTCACGCACCCCTCCCCATCCCTCACATGACGCGTTCAGGTGGGTGCGGGGCATGTGCACCAACACCATTGACGAGCGCTCGCTCAACGCGTGTCTGCTGCCACTCGCCTCGCTGCACCTCGACGCTGTCACCACCGCCGAGGGTCTCTGCCTCTCGCCACCACCACCCCACTCAGAGTCCTCTCCAGGAGTTGCTGCCCCAAGAGAACCCACTGGTGCGCCTCAGGGCGCGGATATGGGTGCCGCTGGCGGCGCATCTTTCAACGCAGCGCCACAGCAGCAGCAGCAGCGCGACCCGCACAGCTGCTACGAGGGCGGGCGCGCGGTGGTGCCTCACGCGGTGCAGCAGCGGCTGGCGGGGTTCCATGCGTCGCAGTGCGGCTTCTGCACGCCCGGCGTCGCCATCGCCCTCTATGCCGCCCTGCGCCGCCACCGCGCCCCCGCTGCTGCTGTTGAGCATGCTAGTGTCAGTGCTGCTGCTGCTGCTGCGGCTGCTGCTGCGCCTGCTACTGTAGCGGGTGGTGGAGTGGAGGTGGTGGCAGGGCTGACGGAGGAGGAGGCGGAGCAGGCGATGGCGGGCAACCTGTGTCGCTGCACGGGGTACCGCCCCATCCTCGATGCTTGCAAGAGCTTTGCAGGCCGCTCTAGCAGCGCAGGTGGTGCAGCAGGCGCAGCAGGGGGGCTGATGGATGTGGAGGAGGTGGGGTCGTGCGGTCATGGACGTGCTGCTGCAGCGGCAGCGGCGCGGGCGTGCAGAGTGGTGGGGCTCTGCGAGTTCGCCCCTGCTGCACAAGCTGGGGCGCCAGGGCAAGGGGGTGCAGGGCTGCAGCGGGGCTCCAAGTGCAGTGGTGAGTGCAGGGGGGTGTGCCGCGCGCGTGGCAGGCCCCTCCCGCGCTACAACCCCCTGTGCGACCCGCCCTTCCCCGCATGGCTGAAGGTGGAGGCTGAGCGGCACGCCAGCAGGCGACAGGGGCATGCGGGGAAGGGAGCGCAGGGCGTGGGAGGCGCCATGCTGGTGTGGGAGCACTGGGAGGCAGCAGGGGTGGGGGGAGACGGCGGATTGGGGGGAGAAGGCCGTGGCAGGTGATGGTAGTGATGGTGAGTGGGCCAGCAGTGCAAGTGCTGGCGCAGAGGAGGCAGAGGGGCAGCAGGGGAAGGGGCGGAGAGGGAGCAGGAAGGTGACGTGGGTGGCGCCCAGGAGTCTGGAGGAGCTGAGAGCGGTGCTGCTGAGGGGCAGGCATGGAGGGAGCGACTCTGAGAGTGAGTGGGGCGAGGTGCGGCTGGTGGCGGGCAGCACGGCGGCGGGCGTGTATCCTGACCTGGCGCGCTGTGACTCCCTGCCGCATGTCACCTTCCTGGACATCAAGGGCGTGCCGCAGCTGCAGCGCGTGGCATGGGAGGAAGGGCCTGCTGGGGAGGAGTGTGAGGGGGGTGAGGGTGGAGCAGTGGGGAAGGAGCGTGCTTTGGGGATCAGGTTTGGTGCGGCTGTGACTCTATCAGATGTGATTGCAGTGCTGGAGGCCGTTGGGGGGAAGGGTGCTGGTAACTCCGCCGCCACAGAGTACAGAGGCCCTGTCATTAACGGCTGGGATCACATCAAAGGGACAGCGCCACCAGCAGCAGCAGCAGCGGCGGCGGTGTTTTCGCGAGTGGCAGCGCATGTGAGGAGGGTGGCGGGGCCGCATGTGCGCAACGCGGGCAGCATGGGCGGCAACCTCGTGCTCGCTGCGTCTCGCCGTGCCTTCCCCTCCGATTTTGCCATTCTCCTGCTCGCCCTTGCTGCCTCTGTGCGCACCGCCACTCCCTCTCCCGCTCCCCCTGCCACTGCATCTCTCACAGGCAGCACAGCACGCAGCGATGGGTGGGTTTGGGAGGAAATCCCACTTGAGGAATTTCTTCACCGCTCGCCACTCCCTCCCACCACTCTCCTGCACTCCGTCTTCCTTCCCTGCCCCACGACCTCTCCCCCTCCTCCCACCTCGCCCTCTTCTGCCGCTCCTCAGCTCGTGTTTGACTCCTTCCGTGCCTCTGCCCGCCCCTCTGGCAATGCTTATGCCTATGTCAACGCTGCTTTCCTCCTCCACATCGCCCCCTCCTCCCTCCCACCACCCTCCTCCTCCTCCACTGTAACCTCCTCTCCCCCCCCCCCGCCCCCCACCATCCTCGCCGCCCGTCTGGTCTTCGGAGCCTTCAACGGTCCGTACGCCATCAGAGCCCGCCGAGCCGAGGCCTGTCTGCTGGCAGCCAATGGCGTGCTGACACGTGGCAGCGTGCTGGCGGCAGTGAGGGCGGTGAGGGAGGAGGTGGTGCCTCCAGAGGGCACGCGGTGGGGGGAGTACCGCGTGGAGGCCGCCGTGGGGTTCCTCTTCTCCTTCCTCTCCCGCCTCCTGCCCCAGGCCGACCTGCACCGCACGCACGTGCACCACACCACCCTGCCCCAGGCAGACCTGCCGAGGAAGAGCATGGGGAATGGGGATGGCGCAGTGGGTGCCTGCAACACATTCTGCCCTGGGGAGGGTCATGGCGCTGCTGTTGGAGCTGACAGCGCTGATGGAGCGCATGGCAGCAGCGGGCAGCAGCACGTGGTGATGAGGGGCCAGCAGGTCTTTAGTGTTACCAGGGATGTCTTCCCTGTCGCCCTGCCGCTGCCCAAGTTGGGTGCGGACCTGCAAGCCACAGGTACTTCGCACCACTTGCCACTGTTTCTCCCACCATGTCCTTGGTTTCTCTATAAACGCCATCTGCCCCTGTCCGCCACCACTCCGCGCTCATCGCTTCCTCCTCTCATCCTCACCCCGCACTCAGCACACTCAATCTCCTACGCATTTCTTCTCCCTCCTCTCCCGCATCTCCCCTCTCCCCACCAGGCCATGCCAGGTACGTGGACGGCATGCCAGCGCCAGCCGCGTGTCTCTACGCCGCCTTTGCCGTCGCCACGCACCCCTCTGCGCGCATCACCGCGCGCTCTTACACCACTGCGCTGGCCTCCCCGGGGGTGGTGGCAGTGCCGGACGCCTCGCACCTGCCGCCCGGGGGGGGCAACATGGCGTCGCTGGTCGTTGGCGCTGCGGACCCGCTCTTTGCTGACCAGTGCACGCACTTCCACGGCCAGCCTGTCGCCCTCGTGGTGCGTGCTGGGTGCTGCTGGGTGGCGTGGAAGGGGTGTGGAGGGTGGCACATGGATGGACAAAAGGGGGGAAGTGGCGGTTGCGATGCGGCCACTGGCTGCCTGCTGTGTGTTGGTCTATGTGGCGCTCTGCACGTTGTTCAACTCCACTCCCTTCTCTCTCATCGTTTCCTCTCCTCTGCCACCTCAACAGCACACCACCTCAATCATTCCTCTCACCACTTTCTTTCCACGCCTCTCCATCTCGATCTCCGGTTTCCCTCCCCTCCCTCCTCACCACCCGTGAATCGTCCGCCAGGTGGCAGACTCGTACCGCCACGCACAGGAGGGCGCACGCAAGGTGCACTGCTCGTACCACCCCTTTCCTCTGCCTGCCTCCAAGGAGCCAGCAGCAGCACAAGTAGCAGCTTTGCCAACAACAGCAGCACTGGGATCACGAGAAGCATCAAGAGAAGCATCCAGTGCAGAGCGGGGGAGGCGTGGTCCCCTTCTGACCATCGAGCAAGCAGAGGCAGAGGGGGCCTACCTCCCTCTCCTCCCTGCCTTTCTCAACTGCCTGCCTCGCCGAGGAAATTTCCAAGAAGCCTTCGACAAGAGCCCTTTGAAGATCAGTGGAGAGGTGAGCATGGCGCGTGGCTCGTGTGGATGCATGCTGCCAGGCGGGCCATGGTGAGCGCTGGGTGATAACGGCACGGGAGAGCAGCAGCCATCTTTGTGGACGAGTATGACACACGGTGGAGCATGTGTGCGGTGTAACCCTGCCCTTCCCTTTCACCTTCCACCTCTCATCTTCGCCATCACCTCCTGTCAACCCATTCTTCCTCTCTCTGCTCTCTCCTACCTTCCCTTGCCCTTCCCTTTTTTCCACTCCACTCTGTTAGAATATCTCCTCTCTTGTAACCTGCATATATGCTATAGGATAGGCTAGAGATAAGCACCCAAACTTAGTTTGGGTGTACAAGCAGGGGTTACCCAATTTGTAGGTTGGAAACCCAACCTTGGTCCAATTATTGGACCCCAAGGGTTGGGATGGGTAGAATTATTGGTCCCCTCCAATAATGTTGGCCCAACTCCAACTTGGCCAACATTATTGGACCCCACCAATAATCTCCCAACCCAACTCCTTGGTTGGGGTCCAATAATGTTCACCTAGGCTAGTTTCCAACTCATCTCCTATGTAAACCCCCCATCCTTTTCAATCAATCCATCAACTTCTCTTCTACCTTTTCTTCTCACATGGTATAGAGCTCTTAAAAATCCTAGGCCTACGCTCCTAGTTTTTTTTCAAAGGCCGCCGCAACCCCCGGCCTCCTCTCTCATTTCTCCGCGGCTATCTCGCCACCCTCCCCCTCTCCTCAAGCACTCCCTTCCTCGCAGCCCCACGGCCTCCCACGCCATCACGGCTCGCGGCCCCACCGCCGCTTCCGCGCTCGCCTTGTCGCGGTCCCGCCGACCGCCACCGCCCGCCCCATCCCGCGGCCTCGACGCCTAAGTTGCGGAAGACGCAAGACGCGTCTTGCGTCTAGCGTCTAGACGCAGCGTCTAGACGCTAGACGCAAGACGCAGAATTAGACGCAAAACGCTTGGCAAAAAAATTTTCGGGCAGCCCGAAATTTTTTTTTTTTTCCGCGCGCGAAATTGAATCTCGCCATTTCGACGCGAAATTCAATTTCGCGTTTTTCAAACCCCTCCCCACCCATTTCGACCCCACAAACAGGTCCTCCAACAAATTTGAAGGCCCCCCCACCCCAAATTGAACACTTACCACTCTTCACCACTCACTATCTACAAAACCCAACCTTCATGGTAAACCACCAAGAGGTTGAGGAGCACAAATCCCTCATTTGTGCTCCCCAACCTTCATTTCTTTCAATTCTCTTTCGTAAACCCTAAGGGTTTAGCTCTTACCTCCGCGCAAGCAACTATGGCTTCTTCTAGTGGTAGTGGCGCTTCGTCTAGTAGTTCCTCCTCCGCGAGCGAGAATGCCGTCGGCGAGGGTTCTTCCGCTCGTGTTTCCAAGGAAATGGAGGGTATTGAGAAGAAATCTAAGTTTCCCGAGCACCCGATCTACAAGCACTATTATTTTTTCTCGGACCCGAAGAAGAAGGGCGAGCAAGTCGAGTGCCTTTTTTGCCACAAGAAGTTCTCGTTTAGTAGTAGCCGCACTCCCGAGCATCTCGCCGAGTGGCACGACCCGCATCGGCGCCGCGAGGCGGGAGTCGTTTGCAACAAGGTGCCGAAGGAGATTTCATCGGAGATTTGCGAGATGTTCGAAGCCAAGATTCGGGCGCGCAACCAAAAGGCGCGGGCGACAAGTGCGGCGATCGCGGCGGTGAGCGGCAAGAGCGAGGTGGGAGGGAAAGCGAAGCGCGGGCGCATGGAGGACTTCTACGGCGAGGGCGGACTTGCGGCGAGGCGGGCGGCCGACGAGGCGATTGTCCTCTAACTCGCGGGGACGCGCACGTCGGAGGCGCAGTGCGAGCACCCGCTCTTCCTCAACATGCTGCGAGCCGTCACCGCTGCCGGCTCGGGCTATGTCCCCCCCAAACGGCACTACGTCGGAGGCGCCGGCCTGCTTGAGTGCAAGCAGAAGATTGAGAAGGCTTTGTCGCCGGTTACGAAGTCGTGGACGGAGACGGGCGTGACGATCGCCAGCGACATGATGCAGGACAAGAGCGGCCGCGCGCAGATGAACGTCATCTGCATCAACGACACTGGAGCGGTTTTCGTTGAGGCGGTCGATTGCAAGGCGGTGACGAAGAGTGGCAAGTTCATCGCCAGCGTACTGCGGCCGATCATCGAGCGCATCGGGGCGGAACACGTCGTGGCGCTGTGCACGGACGGCGGCAGCAACTACAAGAAGGCTGGCAAGCTGCTGCAGAAGGAGTGGCCGCATCTTGACCTCGTTCCCTGCGCGACGCACGTGATGGACCTGCTGATCGAGGACGTCGGCAAGATGGATTGGGCGCAGGTGGTCGTGACCCAGGCGGACAACATGATCAACTTCGTGCGCGGGCACCAGTGGACGCGCGCCTTCTTGCGCGACCCGAAGCTGCACGGCGAGAAGAAGTCGCTGCAGGTGTTGCGTCCGGCAGGCACGCGCTTTGGAACGCAGTTCATCGCAGTGTCTCGTCTGCGCGCCGTTCGCCAGCAGCTCACGGCGATGGTGACACACAAGGATTGGCCGGAGAAGGGGGGGAGCAAGGTGACGGGAGCGGATTTTGAGGGGTGGGTGATGGACCAGGGGTGGTGGAAGAAGGTGGACATGTTTTTGTCTGTGATGGAGCTGTTCTACAATGTGATGAGGAGGACGGATTCAGCGGCGAAGGGGATGATGGGCCAGCTGTACGACATCATGCTGCAGCTGACTGAGGAGTTGGATAAGCTGCTGAAAGGGAAGGAGTGCAAGCTGACCAAGGCGGATAAGGATAAGGTGCGGGAGTATTTGAGGAAGCGGTGGGACGAGAGCCTGGCGTGCCCCCTCCACGTGGCAGGCCGGATCTTGTACCCGGCAAACCAGGAGGAGGGGATTTTCCTGCAGGATGGGGAGTGCACCAAGGTGATGCAGGAGTGGTTGGAGCGACAGAAGGCGTTCGTCGAGAAGTACTGGAAGAAGTCCGGCGGCAAGAAGGGGCAGGTGAAGCCGCTGCATGAGGGGGTGACGGCCTTCATCAACGGCCATGGGGGGTTCGGCACGCAGACAGCGATCGAGGGGCGTGGGGATATTCAGCTGGGGAAGGGGAACGTGATGCTGTGGTGGCAGTACAATGGATGGGAGTACGCCCACCTGGCTCGCATTGCGAGGCGCACGCTGTCCCAGCCCGTTTCCGCTTCACCGTGCGAGCGGGGCTGGTCTACATGGGATGGCGTGCACACGGCGCGCAGGAACCGACTCGGGTCGGAGAAAGTGCGCGACCTTGTGTATGTTGCGCACAACTGGAACGTTGTGCACACATTCCACAAGGATGCGGAAGCGGGGCCTAGTGTGGTGGGAAGGAAGGGTGCAGTGGTGGAGGGGAACATCCCCCCCCCTCCCCTCCCTGAGGGGTACAAGTTGGAGGAGGATGGGGAGATGGAGGCGGACGAGGACGACGTGTGCCTCGATGAGTGGCAGACGCAGGAGGAGCTGGAGAAGGAAGGGGAGGGGGAGGAGGAGGAGGAGGAGGAGGACGAGGAGGAGGAGGAGGACGACGACAGCTAGGAGGCGTAGTATTTGCTGCTGAGATTTGTAGTAGTAGTACTGTATTTCGAGCTTGCTACTACTAGAGAGACATGGATGGAAGGTTAACTACTTATGATGCTTTGTGATAACTTTTTTGAAGACTAAGAATGGGGGAAAAAAAAACTGGTGTGGGGAAAAATACACCCCATTGTGACATAGGTGCATGTTCCCCATCCTCGCCATGCCCCTGAGAACTTTTTTTGGTTTGCCCGAACTTTTTTTTTAGGCCTGCCCGGGTTTTCGTCTAGCACTGCGTCTGATCCAGCCTATCTAGCGTCTAGCGTCTTAGACGCTGCGTCTAGACGGACGCGTCTAAGACGCTAGACGCGTCTTCCGCAACGTCGAGTCGACGCCGCCTCCGCGCCAACGCCACTGCGGCCGCCGTCGTCGCCGCCGCTCCCTTCCGCGGCCTCGACGCCGCCTCCGCGCCTGCACTGCCGCGGCTTCGCCAGCCGCCGCCGCTCGCGCCGCTCCCTCCCGCGACCCCGTCGTCACTTCCGCGCCAGCACTCCCGCGGCTTCGCCAGCCGCCGCCGCTCGCGCCGCTCCCTCCCGCGGCCTTGTCGCCGCTTCCGCGCCTGCACTGCCGCGGCCTCGCCAGCGCCGCAGCTCGCGCCGCTCCCTCTCGCGGCCTCGTCGCCGCCTCCGCGCCTGCACTGCCGCGGCTTCGCCAGCCGCCGCCGCTCGCGCCGCTCCCTCCCGCGACCCCGTCGCCGCTTCCGCGCCGGCACTCCCGCGGCTTCGCCAACTGCCGCCGCCCGCGCCTCTCCGCGGCCTCGTCGCCGCCTCCGCGCCAGCCGCCGCGGCCTCGCCAACCGCCGCCCGCGCCTCTCCGCGGCCTCGTCGCCGCCTCCGCGCCAGCCGCCGCGGCCTCGCCAGCCGCCGCCCGCGCCTCTCCGCGGCCTCGTCGCCGCCTCCGCGCCAGCCGCCGCGGCCTCGCTAGCCGCCGCCCGCGCCTCTCCGCGGCCTCGTCGCCGCCTCCGCGCCAGCCGCCGCGGCCTCGCCAGCCGCCGCCCGCGCCTTCCCCTCCAGCGGCCTCGACGCCGCCTCCCCGCCAGCACCGCCGCGGCCTCGCCAGCCGCCGCCGTCCGCGCCCCTCCGCGGCTTCAACGCCGCCTCCGCGCCAACCGCCGCGGCCTCGTCGCCGTTGCTCCTCCGTGACCACTGCGGGTCCACCTGCAGCCGTCCATCATGGCTACTCCACACCCTCCCCCTCCCCACTTCCTCCCCCTATTGATACGTCCTCCATTGATAAGCTCCAGCTCGCCGCGGACAAGTCCGCAGTCAACTGGCACTCCTTCGTCGGCAGCATCCGACGCGTTCTCTCCGACGCATGGGTTCCCCCCTACCGTGTCCTTGACGTCATCCTCCGCCGCCCCCATGCCCTCCCCCCCACCGAACCTCCCCACCCCGGCGAGACTCCTCCTCTTCCTCCTACTCCTGGCGACCCTCCTCGTGAACCCGATCTTCAGATCACCCCCGACCAAGCCACTGCGGACACTGATTTTATCCTACGCCGCCGTGAATACCTCATCCGCAAAGCCGAGTACGATGCTGCAGTTGAGGCCTATGATCAGGCGGTTGCTGGTCGCGACGCTCACCTCGAGGTCGTCGCCAAATACAAGGTCGACATGGCTGACTTCACCCCCAGACTCATCGCCTGGACAGCTGCTGACACCCGTGCCTGCACCGTTCTCCTTGGAGCTCTCCCTGACTCCCTCATGCGTCGCTTCCAGGCTCGGGAACTCCGTGCCTCGGTCATCTGGGCAGAACTCCATGCCATGTTTGAGCGCCGCGACATCAGCTCCGTCGGCATCCTCTTCCAAGAGTATTTTTCCATCACCCTCGCCACCTGTGACGGAGCAGTCGACTACGTCGGACGCATGCGCGAGGTAGCTGATCGCCTCGAAGCCCGCCAGGCCGGCCTCTCCGAACCTCTTCAAATCCACCGCCTCCTCTTTAACCTCACCCCAGACTACGAATCCCGCCTCCACGCCTTTACCGAAGCCAATCCCATGGCCGGTCTCGCCTCCGTTGAACAGTGGATTATCGACACCGAAGTTAAACTCCGTACACCCATCGTCAACCTCGCCTCCTCCCAACCCACCTCCTCCTCCCTCAACGCTACCCAGCCTCGCAAGCAGGGAAAGAACAACGGCAAAGGAGGAGGTGGGGGCAAGGGAGGTGGTGGTTCGGGAAGCAGCAACAACCGTGGTGGCACCACTGGGGATGAGCACGGCACCACCACTTCGGGTGGACCCACTGCAAGTCGCGGGAGTCGCCCTGGCACGCTTCCTCCCTGCACCTATGTCCGCCGCTATGGTCCTCGGGCTGGAACTCCCTGCGGACAGACCAACCATCCCCCTGGCACGTGCTTCAAGGCTCTCGACGATGCCTGGTACGCGCGGGGTAACGTTGGCACTCCTCCAAAGTGGGGCAACATCTCCCCACGCCCCTCCCCCACCGATATCCAAACCAATCCAGCCTACCTCCCAGCCCACCTCCGCCTCCTTGCTCCCCCCACACCCTTCCTCAACCTCCAGCAGCAGCACCTCCAGCAGCAGCAGCAGCAGCAGCAGCAGCAGCAGCAGCAGCAGCAGTTACAGCAGCTGTTTCACCCTCAGCCGCAGCAGCAGCAGCAGCCACAGCCGCCGCAGCACCCATGGGGGTCAGGACCCCAGCCACAGTGGGGACCCAGCCCTCCTCCCTGGCCGCAGCAGCAGTTGAACTTTGGCACAGCAGCCATGGCCGCTCAAGCCTCACCTGCCCCCCTTTGGGGTGCCCCACCCCCCCCCAAGTAGCACTGCCACCCCTCTCACTCACGAGAGCTTCCTTGGCAACATAGCTATTTCGCCCTCTCTTCCTTCCATGTACCCATCCAACATTAATGAAACCACTTTCCAGTACTCAGTGTCTTCCTCCTCCTCCTCACCCACTCTGGACTTTGTCCTTGACAGTGGGGCCACTGAGACCGCCCTCAAAGACGCTGGTACACTCACACCCCTCTCCCCTCCCACTCAAGTTCACGGTGCTGACAGCAGCTTCACCATCCCATGCACACACCTCTCCACTCTCCCCTGTTCACTCTTCCCCTCTGGCAAGGTAACTGGTCTCCACATCCCCACTCTCCGAAACAACCTCCTCTCCCACCGTGAAATCCAAGGTGCAGGTATCACTGCCGTCTATCCTGGTAATGCCACCTACTGTGACCTTTACCACACTGCCTCCGGCCGCTTCCTCCTCCGCATACCCCTCTGCCCTCGCACTCGCCTCTACACTCTCCGCACTCCGTGGCCATCCTCCTGCCATGTTACCACTCGTGCGGGTACCTCCACCAGCCCTCCCCATCTCCCTCCCTCTCCTCCCACTCCGTCTCCTCCCCACTCCTCCATCCCTTCCTCACTCATTCCAATCCCCTCCACCTCCGACCATCTCTCCCACCCCGCTGTTCTCCTACATCACCGACTCGGCCATCCGAATTTTGCCGCTCTCCGCACTGCCGTCACCTCACAACTTCTCCACAGCCTCCCTCCAACTCTACCTCCCCTTCCCTCCTCCCCAGCCCCCCCATGCCCCTCCTGCATCCACGGCAAACTCAAACAATCTCCTCACCACAGCCACCCATCCTTCGCTCCTGCACCCATTGACCTTGTCCATATGGACCTCTGGGGGCCCTCTCCCACCCGCTCACGCCAAGGCCATCGCTACATGTTGGTTCTTGTTGACGATCACAGCCGCTACTCCTCCATTTTCCTCCTCCACACCAAAGACCAGGCGCCGACCATTATCATTAACTGGGCAGAGCAATGCCGCACCCACTTCAAACGTCCCATCGGCCGCCTCCACTCTGATGGGGGAGGCGAATTCCTCAACCGCACTCTCTCTCACTACTGCGCCACCCATGGCATCCAACAGACCCACACTCTTCCCCACTCCCCACAGCAGAACGGCGTTGCAGAAAGCCGCCTTCGCAAAATCACTAAGATCGCCCGCTGTCTCCTTGCTCACGCCTCCACCCCTCCCTCTCTCTGGGGCTATGCCCTCCTCCATGCTGCCCTCCTCCTCAACCTTCACTCCCATCCCCAACACACTGCCGCTACCCCCACGGAGCTCTGGTCAGGAACCAAACCTGACGCTGCCGGTCTCCGTGTCTGGGGTTGCAAGGCATATGTGCTTATTCCTCCACCCGACCGCACCCAAGGCAAGCTCGCTCCTCGCGCCCTCGAGTGTGTCTACCTCGGACACAACCGCGACTCGCCTGGTTACCTCTTCCTTCACCCTCCCTCTGGTCGCCTCATCCGCAGCATTGACGTTGTGTTCGATGAGACCACCCCGTACTACTCCTCCCCACCACCAGACCCCCTCCCTCCTCCCGCACGTCCTCTCGCTTGGGCCGACACCGTCCTCCCTCCCCTCCTCCCTCCGGCACCTCTTCTCCCACCCCTCCCCACCCCGCTTCCGCCACCTTCATCCGCCGACGTCTACGATCCCACTGCTCCTGCCTCCCCCGCACACTCCACGGCTCCCCCTCCCCCCTCCCCTTCCCACTCCCCTCCTCATCCATCACAGCAGCAGCAGCAGCAGCAGCAGCAGCAGCAGCAACAGCAGCAGCAGCAGCAGCAGCAGCAGTAGCAGCAGCAGCAGCAGCAGCAGCAGCGGCAGCAGGGGCAGCAGCAGCAGCTGCAGCAGCAGCAGCAACAGCAGCAGCAGCAGCAGCAGCAGCAGCAGCAGCAGCAGCAGCAGCAGCAACAGCAGCAGCAGCCGCAGCAGCAGCAAGGGCAGCACCAGCAGCGGCAGCAGCAGCAGCCGCAGCAGCCACAACAGCAACAGCAGCCGCAGCAGCAGCAGCAGGGGCAGCAGCCGCAGCAGCAGCAGGGGTTCCAGCAGCACCAGCAGCAGCAGCGGCAGCAGCAGGGCAATTGCCTGCTCCTCACCCTTCCTCCTCCCTCGCATGCACACCCGCTCCCTTGACCCCATCCTTGGTGCACCGTCTCCTCCCTCCCTCAACCAACTGGAGGACTCCCATGAGGAGTTCACCATGGTCCGGCGCCACACTCCCTCTCTCACAGTACTTTCCCCTGACCTCCTCGGCGCCCTACTCCTTAGCGCGATCCCCGCTCCCACCATCTTCGTCCCCTCCACTTTCCAAGAGGCTATCACCTGCCCTGACGCCGATAAGTGGATAGCCGCCATCTTTCAGGAATGTGAAGCATTCATCCACAATAACTCCTTCATTGACGTTCCCCTCCCTCCTGACGCCAACCTGGTTGAGGGCAAGTGGATCTTTCGAGTCAAGCAGCTGCCGGGAGAAGAACCAGTCTACAAAGCCCGCTACGTTGCCAAGGGGTTCACCCAGACCTGGGCTGAGGACTACTGGTTCACGTTCGCCCCCACCGTCAAGCAGGCCACCCTACGCACCCTTCTTGACATCGGTGCAAGAGACGACATGGAGATTGACTCCATGGACGTCTCCAACGCTTTCCTGCAAGGTGAACTGCACGAACGCATCTTTCTCCGCCGACCTCCCGGGTTCCATGCTAAGTTCCCCGACAACACCGTCTGGCAGCTGAAGCGACCGGTCTATGGCCTGAAGCAGGCACCACGAGAATGGCATGCGAAGCTATCTGCTACTCTCCAGTCCCTTGGCTTCTCCCCCTCCCACTCCGACGCCAGCCTCTTCATCCGCTCTTCCCCCAGTCGCTTTTTCATCTCGGTCTACGTTGACGACATGATCCTGCTGGCGGATTCCAGGGCCGACATGGACCAGATGAAGCGGTCACTTCAGGAACGACTCAAGTGCAAGGACCTTGGTCCCCTCCAGAACTACCTCGGCATGGCTATCACCCGTGATCGATCCGCCCGCACCATCACTCTCTCCCAGTCCCACTACATCGGCCAGGTCCTGGAGAGGTTTGAGATGGCGCAGGCCAAACCAGTCTCCACCCCCCTCCCCTTCGGTCACCAACTTGCGCCACCCACCTCCCCCTCCTCCTCCTCCCGGCCCTACGCCGAGCTCGTTGGGTCGCTGATGTACGCGATGATGTGCACCCGCCCCGACCTCGCCTACCCTGTCAGCGTCCTTGCTCGGTTCGTCGGCCCTGGACGTCACACTGAGGAACACTGGGCTGCCGCCAAGCGGGTCCTTCGCTATCTCTGCGGCACCAAGGATCACGCTCTCACACTGGGTGGATCCTCCCCTCCCCTTCTCTCGGGCTTCAGTGACTCCTCCTGGGCAGACAATCAGCCAGACCGCCGCTCCTCCCAAGGCTATGGCTTTACCCTCGGCAGCGGACTTATCAGCTGGCGTTCCACCCGCTCCTCCGCCATCGCTCTCTCTTCCTGCGAAGCTGAGCTCTATGCGGGCACCATGGCCGCTCAAGAGTCCCGCTGGCTCTGCTTTCTTCTGGCAGAGCTTGGTGCCCCCCAGCGCTGTCCCACGCTCTGGTGTGACAACGCCAGCACCATCCACCTCACCCAGGATCCAGTCTTTCATGGTCGCTCCAAGCATATCGAGCTCCGTTATTTCTTCATCCGCGACCTCGTCCGACAGAATCTTATCGCCGTCCGCAAGATCGCCACTGAAGCCAATTTGGCGGATATCTTCACCAAAGCACTTCTTCGCCCCGCGCACTCTGCTCTCCTCCGCCTCATTGGCCTCGCTCCTCCAGGAGCGCCTTGATTCAGGGGTTGCTGCTCTCCAGCCTTTCCGCATCTCTGCAGGTTAAGGGGTTGTGTTAGAATATCTCCTCTCTTGTAACCTGCATATATGCTATAGGATAGGCTAGAGATAAGCACTTAAACTTAGTTTGGGTGTACAAGCAGGGGTTACCCAATTTGTAGGTTGGAAACCCAACCTTGGTCCAATTATTGGACCCCAAGGGTTGGGATGGGTAGAATTATTGGTCCCCTCCAATAATGTTGGCCCAACTCCAACTTGGCCAACATTATTGGACCCCACCAATAATCTCCCAACCCAACTCCTTGGTTGGGGTCCAATAATGTTCACCTAGGCTAGTTTCCAACTCATCTCCTATGTAAACCCCCCATCCTTTCAATCAATCCATCAACTTCTCTTCTACCTTTTCTTCTCACACACTCCCTCCCCTCCCCTCCCCTCCCCTCCCCTCCCCTCCCCTCCCCTCCCCTCCCCTCCCCTCCCCTCCCCTCCCCTCCCCTCCGTTCTCCTTCCCTCCTCTCTATTTCCACCCTTCCCCTTCCCTTCGCCCAGCCCCATTGCTTTTGAAGCTCAGCGATTGAAGCACCCTCAAAGGTAGAAAACCACCCGTCGCCCGCACCCCATCTCAACCCCCCACCCGCCCGCCATCAGGTGCGGTCGGGCTCACAACAGCACTTCTACTTGGAGCCACAGGCAGCGCTGGCAGTACCGGACGAGGGGGGCAGCGTGACGGTGCACAGCGCCACGCAGAGCCCCGAGCACACGCAGCAGGCCGTGGAGGCGCCTTGGAGGCGCGTTCGGTGGCAAGACGGTTCAGGCCAGCCGCGTGAGTGTGATATTCAGGGGGTGGGGATGAGGAGGAAGTGGGAAGGGGATGAGGATGGTGAGCGGGTGGGGATGGGAAAGGGATAAGAATGGGGAGGGGGGGAAAGGGGGGGGGATGGGCTTTTGAAGCACCATGCATGCACTGCACTGTTCCCACGTTCTTTCATCTTCCTACCCTGCATTGCGAAATACTCAACCCCATCTCCTACAGTCCCCCCCCTCCATCCCTCCCCTTTCCCGGTACTTGAATGCTCAACCATTGTCCCCCTCCACCTCTCCCGCCACCAGGTGGCGGTGGCATGTGCGCTGGCAGCGCAGCGCCTGCACCGCCCCGTGCGCATGGCGTTGGACCGCAAGGCGGACACGGCACTCACAGGCGGGCGGCACGAGGCGCGCGCGCGGTACGACGTGGGGTGTGACGGCACGGGGCACGTGCTCGCACTGCGCGTGCGGGCCGTGCTGAACGGCACAGCAGCGCCAGCACCACCTGCTGGCTCGCTGCTAACTATGGGCCCGCTCTGGCGCAGTACAGCTGGGGGGCGCTGGAGGTCGACTTCAGGGTGGTCAGGTGCGGGGAGAGGGGGGAGGGAGAGCGCTGGAGATGGGAGGATGGAGGGTTGTGTGGAAGAGGCGAAGGGAGGGGTGGCGATGGGAGGGATTGGGAGATGGGTGGGAGGCTGAGGTTGGTTGGTGAAAGTGGAGGTTGAGGAATGGGTGGGTGTTAGCTTAATTCCAAGGCTGAGGATTTATCACAGTGTCCTGTGTTACTCTGAGATGGGCACACATTGCTCACTCCATGGTCAATATACCTCCTTCATTTCATTGCCACTTGCACTGTCATCTCCCTCGCTGTCATCCCCATGCCTCCCCTGCCCTACCTCCCAGCTTCTCTCTCGTTTCCTCTCGTCTCCTCTCTCCCTCATAACTTACACTACGTTTCGTCCGTTTTGTCATATGAGTGCATTTAATCTTTCATGCTGTTCCACACTCTCCCTACCTGCCCCTGCCGCCCTTCACGATGGATCTGCCCACGTGCAGCACAGTGAGGGCGCCAGGTGAGGTGCAGGCCGTGCCGTGCCGTGCCGTGCTGTGCCAGTGGTGGAGAGAGTCTTGGACCGGGCACCTCTCGTGCCGTGCTCTCCCTCACCTCAACCCCCCCTTCCTCACCGCACTTCCCCCCTCTGCCGCCCCTCAGGACGGACCTACCAACACGCAGCCCAGTGAGGGCGCCAGGGGAGGTGCAGGCGGTGGTGGTGGTGGAGAGTGTGATGGACCACGTCGCTGCTGCCCTGGGACTGCCCCCCCTGCTCGTGCGCGAGCGCAACCTCATCACCACCCACGCTCTCCGTGACTTCTTCCCCTCCGCCTTCCCTGCTCCTCCTACTGCTCCTCCTGCTGTTCCTGCTGCTGCCTATCCTGCTTCTCCTGCTGCTCCTGCCACTCCTGCTGCAGCAGAGGGGGAGGATAACGAGGAGGGGGAAGAGGATGAGGGGGCGATAGTACAGCGAGGGTGGAGGGAGGCGAAGGCCCTTGTGAGCTACACCGAGCGCGCAGCAGCGGTAGAGGCATTCAATGCGGCACACGTGTGGCGCAAGCGGGGCGTGGCCATGGCGCCCGCGCTCTACCACGTGCCGCTGCTCGCCAAGCCTGCATGCATGACAGTGTTTGGTGACGGGTCGGTGGTGGTGGAGGCGGGTGGCGTGGAGATGGGGCAGGGGCTCTCCACCAAGCTGCGCCAGGCTGCTGCCCTCGGCCTCAACGCCCTCTGGTGCACCTCTGCGACCGCCACAGCAGACGCTGTTACCAGCAGTAACAGCCGGAGTGGGAGCGGGACTGGCAGCGGCAACTGCAGCAGCGGTGGCAGCAGTGGTGGTGGCAGCGGAAGCAGCAGCAACGTATCGGAGCAGTGTGGAGTGGAGGTGAGGCACATAAGAGTGGTGGAGAACGACAGCCTGTCAATGGGCCATGCGGGCATGACGGCTGCCAGCTCCACCTCTGAAGCCTGCTGTGCCGCTGTGCTGCTCGCCTGCCACCACCTGCTGCCCGCGTTGCTCACCGCCAAGGCTGCAGCCGAGCAGGCCAAGGCATGCCGGCGGGTGAAGCGGGATAGCGGACTTATTGAAGGGGAGTCAGGAATAGGAGAAGATGACGTGGCAGTGGAGGAGGGTGACGTGGCGAGTTGGGAGGAGGTGGCAGCGCAGGCCAAGGCCATGGAGCTCACGCTCTCGGCGCAGGCGCACTTCACTCCCGACCCCTCTCACGCCTCCTACTTCACCTTTGGTGCCGCCGTCTCTGAGGTACACCTCAACCCTGTGTGTGGCTGCTGGTGAGTGAAGAAACAAAGCTTGCATTCTGATGGTTCCGCCTCTGCTGTGCTTCCAATCCCATTCAGGATATGCCAAAATCCTCCTTCTGCTCATCCTCGCTTTTCCACCCTTGTATTGGATCTCTCCCTGTGGTGGGGCAGGTGGAGGTGTACGTGCTGACGGGGGCAGTGGCAGTGCTGCGGTGTGACATCCACTACGACTGTGCTCGTAGCCTCAACCCCGCTGTCGACATTGGCCAGGTGCGCACGCCACATGCATGCATCCACTAGTCCATCCATCCACACGTACCCTCTATCCTTTCACCTCCTTGACCTTCCCCAGAAATCGTGTTTATTATCCTGGTTTGTAACCACTTAGCCCCGTCTGTTTGCAAGCGTGCACGCCCACCAAACGTGGTTAACCCCTCCCTTATCCCCCTCTCCTTCTCCCTCTCCCGCTCCCTCGCCCTCTTCCCCTCTTCCCGCGCCAGGTGGAGGGGGCATTCGTGCAGGGGCAGGGCTTCTTCACCACGGAAGAGGTGCTGGTGGACGAAGCTACCGGGAAGCTGCTCTCAGCTCAACGTCTCCCTCGTGCACGGCACTGGCAACAAGCAAGGCGTGCTCTCCTCCAAATGTGACCCCTCCCTCCTCCCTCCTTTCTCACTGCTCTCTCACCTACTCCCTTTGCGCACTGCCCTCTAGCTTTTGCTTCTCCTTTGCCCCCCCCTCCGACACCTTCCCCCGTCTTTGCATTGCGTTAAATTCCAAACCTAGGTACATAGTCATCCCTGCCCGTAAGATCATGGTTACCACCGCATATCAAGCAACACACCAGAGGACACAGTCACACAGGCCTCTTCCCATCACTCACCCACCACGTTGTGGCCCCATCAGCATCCGGCGAGCCCCCGCTGCTGCTCGCTGTCTCCATCCACTCCGCCATCCGCCACGCCATTGCCGCTGCTCGCCGCCAGTTGGCCCACCCAAGCACGCACGCAGGCAGCGCGATTGGGGGGGGGCGAGGGTGCGAGTTTGTGCGCCTGAACTCGCCCGCCACCATGCCTGTGGTGCAGCGTGCGTGTGGGTCACACCTGGTGGAGGCGTATCTGGAGAAGCAGCTTGCAACGTCTGCTGCTGCTGCTGCTATTGTTGCAGCTGACGGCCCTGGTGCCGAAATATCATAGCTGGTGCGTTCTATGATACTTAGTCAGCAGTTGGACAGTTTGTAGCAATCATTTGATCGATATTAATGCTACCTGATTTTTCAAGAGCACTAATACCTACGGTACCCAGGCCCTGTCAGAATCAACTATGCAGGAATGAATGAACTACCGGTATGAATGAGTTGGGTATAAGTACTAACCCTAAAATGTTGTACCCCTTGTAGGCTAACCCACTATAGCCTATAGAGAACACAAACATATAGTTTGACACACCCCCATAGGCTAAGTGGGAGAGAGCAAATACAACAGACGGTCACAAGACCAGTCAAGCAAGAGAACAAAGCAAAGCAAAGCTCAGGGTGGATCTCAAGGACACCACACAATCTGAGCACAAGCAAGCGGCCACAAGGCCAGTTCACATGCAGAATTATAATAGCAAGGCGGTACACTGATCACAACCTACCGTATTACCCCGGATAAAAGCGCAGGTGCGCTTATAATAAATCAGTGTTTTTTAGGGGGGTGCGCTTATAATTGAGTAAAAAATATAAGCGCATGCGCTTATAAAATGACAAATATAAAATTACAATTTTCAGACACCAAACTGTACATCTCGTGCCTGCCATTTCAGTCGAGTCGATTTTACAAGGGGTCGCGAGTGAAACTTTCGCGCGCGATGGCAAATACATTCGATGTGACTCAGAGGGTGCCCCTGACAGCTCATGCTGACTGGACTCGCAGCCTGTGCAAGGTTCGAACTGGACAGTACATACGGATGGTGGAGGAAACGAATCCTCCAACTCCCCGTGTTGGAGGATTCGTGTTGGAGGAATGAGCTGGCAAGCTGACCGCGGGCAGAAAAAAACTAAACCCCATCGCGACCGGCATGCCATTCGGGAGCCTCAACCCTAAAATTTTAGGGTTGAGGCTCCCGAATGGCATGCCGCTCGCGATGGGGTTTATTTTTTTTCTTGCCCGCGTTCTGCTCGCTGACTCGATTCGACTGCCAGCGTTTCAGAACCGAATTTGAAAAGTATCAGCCTGCTAAAGTGAAAATCGTTACAGTAATTTGACACGTTTTTAAATTTAAACTTAGGATGCACTTATAATAAATCAAGGTTTTACAAGGGGTGCGCTTATAATTGAGGATCGGCCATAAGCGCATTGCTCCAGATAGAAGCGCATGCGCTTAACATAGGCCTGCGGTTATATCCGGGGCGATACGGTAACAAGAGTAAACAAGCAGGTATAAAGATATATATCAATGTACAACAAGAGCAAGTCAAGCAACCAGCAGGTGAGGTAGAGTGGGCAGAAGCCCAAGAGCAGTGCAAAAACGCTGATGGTCACCAGACCCGATGGCCTTGGTGAAGACATCAGCAGTGTTGGCCCGAGAGGCCACGTAGGAAAGGCGGAGCTAACCACGCTGCTGCAGCTCTCGAGCAAGAAAGTAGCGAAGAGCAATGTGCTTCATTCTGTGCTCCAGTCTCTGCTCCCGACACAAGGCATGTCAAACATTATATATGTTGTGTTTGTTTAGGCTACAGTGGGTTAGCCTATAGGGGGTACACAATTCTAGGGTTAGGTACTTGTACTGTTTTCGCTGTTAGTTCAATCATTCCAGTCTGTTAAGTCTGACATGGTTTCAGAGCAGGTCCTTCGCTAGGACCGTTCTTAGGGCCCACCGCTACCTACCTACCTACCTACCTACCTACCGTGCGCCCTCGTGCGCCTACGCGCCCCAGTGCGCCTCCTACCTACCGCGCGCGCGCAGTCTACCAGCCACTCGCGCGCGGCTCGCTTTTTTTTTTTAACCGCGCGCGACCCGCTAGCTGCCCGCGCGCGGCTGATTTCTTTTGAGCGAGCGCGACCAGCTAGCCGCCCGCGCGCCGCTCGCACCGCTAAAACGCAGCTCGCCGCGGCCCCGCCGGCCTGCACATTGCCGCCCGCCCGCTGCAGCTGCCGCCCGCTCGTCGCCCGCTGCAGCTGCCGCCCGCTCGTCGCCCGCTGCTGCTGCCGCCCGCTCGTCGCCCGCTGCAGCTGCCGCCCGCTCGTCGCCCGCTGCTGCTGCCGCCCGCTCGTCGCCCGCTGCAGCTGCCGCCCGCTCGTCGCCCGCTGCTGCTGCCGCTACCACGGGCCCGCCGCTGCAGCTACAACCTGCGCGTCGCTCGCAGCCGCTCCCGCTCGTGCACCGCGGCCGCTACCGCCCGTGCGCTACTGTTGCGCCTGCTACCGCTGCCGCTGCTGCACTCGCTCCCGCTGCAGCCGCCGCTACTGCGCCCGCTGCCGCTGCCGCCCGTGCGCCTCAGCTGCTGCCGCCCGTGCGCCTAAGCCGCTGCCGGCCTGTCGGCTCTGCCACTACCGCCCGTGCACGTTCTTTTAGTGGCCCCGCCGGCCCCGTTGACGGCAGCCCACAGCTTCCCTGCGGCTACATTCTTCCTGTTTCTACCGCTACTGCTACTGCCGCTATGGCTACTCCTACTGTACTTACTTTCGATGCTGAGGGCCGTCCAGTGAAGTTCGAAACCTGGCTCGATGACCTCCACCTCTTTCTACAGCTCACTGCTAAGGAGGACATTTCACTGTACGATCACGCCCTAGGCAACGCTACTGCCCCTCCTACCACTGCTGACAGCACTCAGCGCTCACAGTGGCAGACTCGTGACGCCCACGCTCGCTTCGCTATTCGTAACTCCCTACCGATCGACGAGCGCGAGCACTTTGGCCAGCACAAAACTGCTAAGGACCTGTACACTGCTGTAGTCGCTCGCTACTCCTCACCCGCTTCTGCCACACTAGGCCGCCTCACTCTCCCCTACCTGTTCCCCGACCTGGCCTCCTTTCAGACAGTTGCTGACCTCATCACCCACCTTAAGACCAGTGAGGCCCGCTTTCGCGCTGCTATGCCTGACGAGTTCCTCGCTAGCAACCCCCCCCCGCTCTGGATCACTCTCTACCACATAGTCACCCGCCTCCCCGACTCCCTGCGCACAGTCAGGGACCACTTCCTCTCTCGCTCCCCCACTGAACTCACCATTGCCCTCCTCGAGAAGGAACTGCTTGCAGCTGAGGCGAGCATTGTCGCTGTAGGCACCTCTCGTGGCGACCCCCGCACCCCGTTCTTTGAGGGGTGTTCCCCTTCCCCTCTCCTCCCCTCTGTCGCCTCTGCTGCTGCTGTCGACCTCCTTGGTGCTGAGAAGGTCGGGACCGCGTCTGCTTCGAGCGGGCGCCGCAAGAGCAAAGGGGGCAAGGGTGGAGGTGGCGGCGGAGGAGGTGGGGGTGGAGGCGGTGGGAGTGGAGGAGCGGCTGGGGAGGCTAGTGGCGGCAGTGGGGGTGGTGACAGCAGCGGCGGGAGTGGCGGCAGGGGTGGAGGCGGCAGCGGAGGCGGAGGTGGTCGTGGCAGCGGCAGGGGTGGAGGTGGCCGAGGCGGTGGCGGCGGCGGTGGTGGTCGTGGAGGCGCTGGTGGTGGCCAGAGTCAGCAGCCCGCCCCGTCGCTTCAGGCCGCCCGTGAGTGGTATGCGCAGCGTGGCTTTACCTGCACGTACGTCATTCGCACTGGTGACCGCACTGGCCAGCAGTGTGGGAGGCAGCACCCCACGCAGCGCTGTTTCGCGCGCCTTACCGACGCGTGGCGTGCCCAGTTTCCTGATGCCACTGAGCTGCCCCGCTGGGCTGATCTGGAGAAGAAGGGAGTTGATATCTGGGCCTTAGACTTTGATGCTATTCTCACTGCCATGTATGCGATGTTTACTAGTGGAGAGGGTGCTCAGTACTTGCGTGTTCCGCCCGACCCGGGCATTCAGACCAGTCCGGCTGCCGCTCTAGGTGCTAGTGAGTCTGCTGCCCCAGGTCCTGGTGAGGCTGCTGCTCTAGGTGCTAGTGAGTCCGTGCCCGCTGGTACTGAGTCGACTGCAGCACTGCACACCTTCACACTGGACTCAGGTGCTTCTCGCTGTTTCTTTCGTGACCGCACTGTCCTTGAGCCACTCGCTCGGCCAGTTGCTGTCTCCCTCGCTGACCCCTCTGGGGGTCCGGTCGTTGCGACCTCCTCCACTGTCCTTCCTTGTCCTGCGGTCCCGTCAGGCACACTGTCAGGTCTCTACCTCCCCTCGTTCTCTACGAACTTGGTGGCAGGTAGTGCGCTCCAGGACGGGGGTGTTCACCAGTTCACCCCTGCTTACGAGCGCGTGACACACTGCACGTGTGCTCGGACGGGCCGTCACCTGGCTACCTTCACTCGGCAGCCAGGGTCGGACCTGTACACACTGACCACTGAGTCCCCTCAGGTAGCTGCGTCCGCGTCTGCGTCTGCGTCAGGTCAGCTGTCAGCCCCCTGCTCGTGTCGCTCTCTGGCGCATGAGACTGTTCTCTGGCACCACCGCCTTGGTCACCCGTCTGTGCAGCGCCTTCGGGCCATGCACAAACGGGACCTTGTTGCTGGTCTTCCCAGGGTTCTCCCTCCCCTCCCACCCTCG